CTTCGGTACACTCGACGGCCAACTCGGCACTTGCTGCCCGGCTGTCAACTCGATCGACTCCGCAGGGATTGACTCGCTAGACGAGACACCAACTCGATACTAACTCGTACTCTAGACGAGGCGCACACTAACTCGCCCTCTCGACGAGGCACTCTCGAAGACACTCACTAACTGACTGCGTACCAGCAGGGTTTATATAGCTTTTAACTGGTGTTCGAGAGCATTCTGGGCTAAACCGGTAAGAATTCGTTCCAGAAGGTTCTCCATCCGTCCATGGTATATCGCCAATTTTGCCACCAAACGTCGCCAAATGGGCGATTTCTCACCAAATGCGACAACCTCTGCCTTCCCTTGCAATTTTATGGCAACCCTTAAACTGCTTTGCAGGTAAGCCATCTTACCGCGCCGATACATTTCGTAACACTGCCCCCTCCCAATGACTGCACGTCCCGGGCAGTACAACCCTTGGTCAGAAGCATAATTCGATACAACAAAACATAATAAAACCAATAACATAACTAAAGAAACAAATATTTACAATATGTACAAGTTATATACACAAATTAAACACTTAACAATTTTAAATTATACAAATTAAAGTTCTGAATGAATTTCAGTCTCAGTCTTTTCACTAAAATACACTGGTGTGCAAAAATTAAGGACGAAGTCGAAAAATTAGCATATCAGCTAAACGAAGAGGCAGAGCGGACAGAAAGACCAATCAGGAGATTAAGTAAGGTGATGTACGGTAGCACATGCGCAGATATGCAGGTAGACGTAATGGGGGAGTGTTTGAGTAGTATAAAGCATGTTGTCGGTGTAAGATCAGTATTTCTGGCAAAGAGATTGCACGCCGTATACCAGTTAAAATCACACCGAGTTGCTGCCTCAGCGAGAAATGGCGAATAATCAATCTGTTAGACGACATCTGGATGCTTTTACCCGAGGTCGAATCATTGGGAAGTTGGAGGAAGGCCGCAATGTAACAAGTATGGCTGCAGAGTTCGGAATTGCTCACAGCATCGTTTCACGACTTTGGAGACAATTTCAAACAGGAACAGCTATCCGGGGGTTTAGTAGTGGTCGTCCACGAGGAACCACACCCGCAGATGACCGGTATATTGCCTTACAGGCCAGAAGAAACAGGTGGCAGACAGCGTGAGAAATAGCTAGACACACGACACAGGCGACTGGACGATCGATATCGCGTTTTACCGTGGCCAGAAGATTGCACGGTGGTGGTCTGTTTGCACGAAGCCCTGTACGGTGTACCTCTAACGCCTGCCCATCGGAGAAGGCGTTCTCTGTGGTGCCGGGAACACCAGAATTGGAGAGACAATGAATAGGGACGAGTACTCTTTACAGATGAGAGCAGATTCAGTCTGAGTAGCGATTCTCCTCGCATACTCATCTGGAGAGAGCGGGGAAGACACAATCATCCCTCGAACATCATTGAAAGGGACAGGTATGGAGGTGGTGTTTTCGTTTGGGGAGGCATCATGCTTGGTAGTCGTACAGACCTTCACATCTTCGACGCAGGTTCAGTCAACGGGACCCGTTATTGTAACGAGATTCTTCTTCCATATGTTCGTCTTTTTAGAGGCGCTATGGGTCCGCAGTTCCTTTTTCATGGACGACAATGCACCATATCATCGCACAGTAGCTGCCGAACAGCTCTTAGAGAGTGAGGATATTGAACGTATGGATTGGCCGGCACGATCTCCGGATCTCAATCCCATCGAGCATGTATGGGAGTTTCTAGGCAGACGCTTGGCAGCTCGTACCTTACCACCAGTAACGATTTCGGAGCTTCGGTGGGCAGACGCTGTGAAACTTGCCTAGCAGCCAGGGGAGATCATATCCCCTATTAAAGATCGGATGTTTCTTGCTGGACACCCATCACAGGGATGTTTCGGCCTTCAGTAGCATTGCGCTCCATGCTACTTTTTCAATAAAGCTTCTTTTTATCCCTCTGATTTCTCTTTTAGTAAGTGTTGCTTACATTACTCATGTCCTTACGTATTGGGGATCTTACGCTATTAAATGTGTTGATTTGGAAAGCTTTTGTACAAAGTTATATTGAAAAAACCGTCTCGTCCTTAATTTTTGCACAGCAGTGTATACCCGGGTCAAATACGTTTCCACTGAAGTTCTCAGATATATTTATGTTTTGCATATCACAGTCTGAAAATTCAGTTCTTTGAAACTTTCCATCCACAGAAGGATCTGAAACAGTTTGTCACCACTCTGAAGTTTGTTCGCATCATGTGGACAGTTCACATTGGTATTTACAGCAGCTGGTACATGCACATTTTCCTCCTTTTCCTGGGAACCAGCTTCAAATTCTCCATCAGTGTCATGAAAGGAGCCCGATATCTTACAAACGCAAATATCGACGTTTGCAGGAACGTGGACTATTAGCAGGGTGACCATTATTTCGTCTTTACTTGACAGTGCAGCATAGAGAGAGACGGAGACTCTGGTATGCAAAACGACAAAGCTAGACAGGAGTGGCAGAATGCCGCCTTTCCCGGTACTGCGTGCAGTATTCTGATGGCTGTATACGTTTGCGGGGTGTCCGAGAAGACCGCACATCACTTGCTTGCATTTCGCTGTCGGCACAAAACCTTGAAGATTATTATGCGCCAGACGAATGGTGAATAAAATTCAAAATGCACAAACACACTGTATCAGATGAATTGTTGAAATGAACCTGTAATGCTGATGAAGGCAGGAGAAATGACTTTGAGAAATGTTTTGGCAACAGGTAGAGAAGGATAAAAGGAAAAAAACTTCAAATCATGCAGTAAAAAGCGATGTCTTTTAAAAATGGTATGAGGTTGATGTGAGGGTTTCTTCCAATGAGATCTGTTAAGTTAACATTCGTAGAGTTAAAATGATATTCACGTTTCTGACTATAAGCAGGACAGCAGATTAAAATGTGATTAAGTGAAACGGGAACGTTGCAAGTGCCACAAATAGGCTCATTATCTCCTTTCAAGAGATACTGATGTGCCAGTCTGCAGTGGTTAATTCGTAGGCGAGTCAGCAGTACATCCTCCTTTCGATTCCCTCTCAACTCCCAATACTCCAAATCGGGTTTTACCTGACTTAATTTGTTCAGAATCTGGCATTCCCAGAGTTCTAATGTAATTCCGTATGTCTGTAAAAGGGACATCATTTTCAGAAATAATATCAGCAGATTTTGCTGTGACATCGGCGAGTTCGTTGCCGTTAATGCCAACATGAGGATACCCTTGCGCGCGTCACTATAATCGGAATAAATAAATAAAGTTAAACGACGACAAATAAAAGTGCTCGAAAAAACGATGACAAATAAAAGTGATTATTTTGCTATTTGTATAATTTGAAAAACGATGACAAATAAAAGTGCTCAAAAAACGATGAAAAATAAAAGTGATTATTTTGCTATTTGTATAATTGGAATTCTTTTTATTCATTTTCATAAGCTACATGCATTGATAAATGAAAATGTCGAAATCTTGCTTTTAAAAACGTTTGATTTATTTATGTCTGATATTATTTCAAAACTAAATTACACCAGTTATGTTTATGATATAAAATCAGACAATTATGATATCTCATTTGAAATAGAAATATACAAATACATTTATCTGCATATTTCTTTATCACATGAACATGCATAAAATAAAAAAGGGGGAATTATTTCTTTCCTTATCTTACTTTTGTTATCATTTTATTCTTATTTATTAGTCTTGTAGCTAATAGAAAAATATAGTGTGCAAAAAGAGAAAAATATGTTCAAATAAAATATTTCTTATTACCTTTTTTATTATGGTTTTTCCCCTATCGATAGCGCTAATAAGAGATTTCTAAGGCTAACTATCCGGCATTCATCTAATCGGAAAGCTCAAGTAACCGGAATATTTGAGAATTTCAGAAAAGAACTGGTCCCAACAAATTAAGTAAATTGCATATCTTTAACACTTATAGAGCTTGTTTTATTTGTTATTATTATTTTATGAGCACTCATACATTATCACCAAACAGTGCGAATTAGCATTAAAAATGGTTAAGCATGATGTCAATACACAGTTATGAGAAGTTTATTTTGTTTTCACACAAATTCAATTAATTCTAGATAAGCTCGTTAAATTTTTTGTAAAGAAGGATATAAGTTCTGCTTTTTCATTGTATTTTAAAAAACTGATTAATATTTCGGGTCTGCTTTTCATTGAATAGAATGCAGTAAGGTGTAAGTTACAAGTAGGGCGGCTATAGACACTTTGCCGCCTGGCGTAGAGTCTCTGAGAGTTCTAAGTCTGCTGTCCAGTGTCTCCATAAATTCTATAAATTTGTCGCCACTAAATTTTGCTGTCCAGTACCTCTCCTAAATTCTAAAGTTTTTCTTTCCAGTTCTTTTCTAAACTCTAAAATCGTTGCTACCCCTAAATTCTGCCGCGCTTTGTGATCCCATCGGCTCTGGCGCCGGCCGTAGTTACAGGTTTTTGGTATAAAAAAATGAGCACTATGTGCAGCTGCGTTTGAAAACGTATAAACAATGACAATGCAACTAGAAAAATTGCGATTAAGCGATATAAATTTTTATATGCTGTATCCATAATTTGTGTTTGGTTGTATAAAGAACGATCTGTTGACAGGTGCAACTTTGGCAATATCATCACCAACTTTTATTTGGGGGGGGGATTTCGTAATAGGATAGGATGTTTTACTTTTATGTTTAAAGCCTTCGAAATACGTCGACTTTTATGTCTGAAATACACTTTCTTCCCTTTTCGAAATCTTATTTAAGTTTGTCACAAATAAAATAACACTTTTTATAGTTTTAGGCAGGAACTTTCTTCCATTCATTTGGCTTTTCTATCGTGAATTCCGAATTTTTTACCCTCAACTACCTAGAATTGTTGTGTGTCCGAAACTTTCCGGACAGAAGAGATTTTTTTTGTACAATAAGCTCGTTTATTTTATTTATTTATTTATTATTTTTTTTTAAATTTTCAGCTGTTATGTTCTCTGTAGACGATGCTGTGAATAAGGCTGGATATGGAGCATTCCAGGTGCGACTAACCTGTCTGGCAGGACTCGGATGGGTATGTATTTATTAGCCACACACTACAACTACTAAAAACGTTGATAAGGATTTTGGAAGTGGTAGTACAAATCTCTTCCAAGTACAATTGGAAATTAAACAAGTTTCTAATGTAGCACTCCAATTTAAAGCCATGGCATGCACATTCGGTTGAAAACTTTCAATGATTTCGAATTTTGACAAACAGTTGTAGAATATGAAGTTAATTTTCAGCACTATTGGAGAACAAAACATCAGGAATTATAAAATGGAAATATTTAAGACTTCGAAAGTGAACAAATTAATTGTTGCTGCACCTCTGACTTGTATAACTATAAACCAAGTCAGGAGGTCTATTTGTTGTAGAGAGAGGGTTACAATACTCAGGCTTATATATAATTTATTTACTAAAGTAACATTGCTTATATTATCTCCTAATAAAAACTTAGTAGAATGTATCTAATCAAAATAAAATTATTAAATAATTAAATAAAGTTTGGTGGTTAATAGGAATAGCACAAATTAAAACTGGAATAAAAATAAAGCAATTCACTAAGATAACAATATAAAATTATATAATAAAAGAAATAGTTGAAAATTCTTTGGTTGGTTTTTCAAGGAGCAGGCGAACAATTTTCAACAGGGCCACGTTTCTGAATTATACTGGATAATTATTGACTCAGGAAATAAATAAAAAGAAAGTGCAGAATGGAAAAGGAATTAAATTAATTAAAATGATGTAAAAAGTAAAAGATCAGAATTTTCAAAATTAAAAACCACATAAACAATTGGTCAAACTAAAAGAAATATACATTTTTCAAAACTACTAAAAAACTATTACAAATTAAAAATAATTAAACTCAAGATTTAAGGAAATTTTAAAGTCAAGATGTAAGGAAATTTTAAAGTCAAGATTTAAGGAAACAAAGCTAAAAAACATTTGAGAATGACAGTGAAATATTTAAACAAGCAAAAGGCTTGAAATTAGGGAAAAGAATTAATTTAATTAATTCTAAAGAGAATTCTTTTGGGAGAGTAATCACTGTACAAAAATAATGCAAAAACTCAGAATCTCCAGGAAGAGGGGTGGGAGACCCTTTCATCCATTGCTAGATGTTCTGCCTTGGAATTCTGATGATTTAGCATGGGGCGGAAGCTTAGGAAGGCCTGGCGATACTTAATGTGCCTACAGTGTGTCCTAGATGCCGGCATTGCTTCAACCTGTGCATGTATTATAACAGAATAACAAAACTGGGAAGTGGAATGTTAAATATGTAAACATTGATTTTATGGGATTGAGTAAAATAAGTGAAAACATTTAATATAGCGACAGCTAAAATGTCCGAATTCAGACTTTCGAGTAAGTTAAAAAGAGAGAAATAAAGCACAGTTTAGAGATATACTTATAAGACAATATGCACATCAAGGAAGTTATTGCCTTTACACTACATTAGCGCAAAAAGGTTCTTAGTCTCGAAATATGATTTTTCATTGTTTCACTTCAAACCGCTGTTTCACTTTTTATTTGAGTCTGTTACCATTCGGAAAAACACAAGATATTATTCTTTCATATTTACTCCGTCTGTTAAGAATTAACAGACTAAACAATTTAAAAACAATAGATGTAGTTCTTAAGATATTATTTATTTACTTTTCAATTAGATAAATTTAAATAAAAATGCATTTAAATCATGATATATCTAATTAAAAACATTAAATATTTTTATAGAATTTTATTGCATATTTTTTCACTTTTTAAATGTACAGAAGATGTAATGTTCCCATGTTAGTTTAACTCGGTATTCGTCTTAATATTCTATAAAATGTTTCGCTATTCCACCTGCGCCATTTCTATCGATAATCTCTACCGATAAAACACATTGAACTTTCAAAGAGGCGTAATAAGAATACGAACTCTCTCAGATTTCTTCGGTCTTTTCTCAGTTCATCATATCAATGTTCGGTTATCTCAGCAATATGACTTACACAACTTTTTATATCTATTGATTTTGTTTTTCTTTCCCGTTATATAGTACACGAGTGGTCTCAAACTGACGCCTTCCAAAACAATTTTTTGAAGAGCGTGAAAGCATTTTCACTATGTATTTGTTGTAAACACAGGGACGGAAAGATTTCAAGGTTTTAGTTATTTTAAGTCCGATTTTACGTTACTTTCATTTCCATTAAGAACGAGCATGAATAACGCACCAGAAAATCTGTAAATAGATTAATTTACAATGTGGTATAAATCTTATTCAAAGATTTGAAGATACAGATTTGATTAACACTTTTTTGTACTTTTAAAAAAATAAATAAGCTCAGTTATGAATTTTTTCGCTGAGAATAATCGCTTTATATGTGAAAAGCATTTTTCACAGTTCAAAATTAATAAGAAAGGAATTTTGTTGAACGATGAGAGTTTACAAACCGTGATGATGATAATTTCTAGTAATTTTTCTCCACTGAACTTTTTCTGGTCATTCGATTTTAACGATATCGAAATGCTGCCAAGTATCAAGCCGTGGTAAGAAACAACAACAACAACAAAAGAAAAAAAAAAAACTACATTGATTACATACGAATGAAAAATTTTCTCTGAACAATTTGAAATAAATACTATTCTGAAAATTTCATCTTTAGCTGTCAAGGCGTTTGAGTTACAACGTGTAACCAACAGAAATGTCTTGCAGGTGCCAAATTTTAGATTTCAGATGGAAAATAAATATAAATTTGAACTTTTTTCCTTTGTGATATTATTATTATTGTTTACGTATGTTTTTGATAAGTATAATTTGAATAATATTACATTATTCAAATAATATAATGTTATTCAATTTATAATAATTAATTAATTATTTTAATAATAATTGATTAATTATTTTCATAATATAAATTTGAACTTTTTCTCATTAATATTGTTTATGCAGGTTTTTGGTAAGTATTTAGCAAGCGAAATTAAAATTGATTTAAAGAATTTTTTAAAAAATTTTGTTAATAAAAAATTTTCATTCTGTCGAAAGAAAAAAAAACTGGCCTGTTTTCAAATTGTTCATTCCGATCGCGTGCAGTTTGAGTTTGAGATCCCTGATGTATGTAATAGGATACTGATGCAGCTACTACTAAAATAAATTTAAGAATGTAGACTTTTTTCATGTTGATATTATTAACTTCATCATTTTCAGCTGGCTGATGCCTTCGAAATCATCATCTTGTCTGTGATTGGAGATTTTATTGCATGCGACTGGCCATTATACAGATGGCAGAACGCCCTGCTGACATCTGTAAGTTTTCACTGTTGAATGCTTATGATCATTTAAACTATATTATCATTTTACAGTCTTATAGTCTTATATATCTTCACAGATATTGTCCTTTTGTTTTATTAATTTATGGGGTATTAATTTATTGTCTTATTAGACAATATACTAATAATCTAATAAGACAATAAATTAGACAATAAATTATAGCCTAATCAGACAATAAATTAATTAGACAATAGACTAATAGACTAATAAGACGGGCTATTAGTTTATTGTCACGATTGAAACACGATTTTGCGTTCTTTCACTTTTCGTTCGAGTCTGTTGCCATTCGGAAAAATGTTAGCTATTATTCTTTTATATTGAATATGTCTGTTATTCATTAACAAACTAAGCTACTTAAAAACAATACATGTAAGCCATAAAAATATCATATTATATATTTTTTCACTTTTTAAATGTACAGAAGATGCGGAATGTTCCCGAATTACTCGCAATGCATATTGATTTAATATCCTATAAAAATCAAATCGTTAAAATAAGAAACGTTTCAGATTTTAAAAAAATTGTAATATATTTATTGCCCTATTAACTTATCGTCTTATATATATTCTTATATATCTTCATATCAACTTGTAAATTTTCTAGAACGAATAGCAATATAAGTGAGAAAAACATTTATTCTTAAATTTATACACTAATTTCATATGAAGCTATACTCTAAAAATAAGGAAATAATGTTGGTCTGAGGGAAAGCTATTGATAGAATGAATTGGCTGAGTGGAGCAGACAGGCAATCAGTCATTTTTGCGTCTTATACAAAAATGATTGAAATATATATTATTTATTGTTATCATCATTTAAAATATAATGTATGTTTATTTAAGGAAAGAAATAATTTATTATTATTTAAAAATGAAATTTAAATAACAGTAAAGTCTCTCATAACCTGCAATATCAAAATAACGACACTTTTAAAAGTCTAAATTTAAATGCAAAAGTTTAAGCTTATGTGATAAAAATAATATGTAGCGGGCTAATAGTATGGATACTTGAATGTGGGAAACATTATATAATGTTTCTGTTGCCCAATGTAACAAGCCTTATCCGACCAATGAATTATCCAGACTACAAGGTAAAATACCGATCCTTTTTCTTGTGGGGATATGTGATCTTAAAAAGTAGTGTTGTAGAATCATTAGGATTTTTGATAGCAGGAAACGTGAAAAGTGAGTAATGCCCTCACCTCTCGATACGCGCCGAGTGTGCTACCGTTACAACACGAAGACATGCAGAAAGAGGGATAAAATAGCTTATAGTCTCCACGACTTTAAGAAACCATTCACATTGAAAGATGCCAAATTCGTTCGGCTCTTGGTTGCAAAGATCTAAAGAATTTTAATTTACCTCACTGTTTGTGTAAATTGTGGCTATGATCATATACATAAATGTCCAGTGATAAAATCCTCTTGATTTTTTAACACGTGTGTCTGTGTCCGGCATCTTTGATTTATTTACGTGTTCGGAGAAGATTAGAGTTACTAAAGACGAAGGTTTCGATGAATATATATAATTATGCTCTCGTCTCCCTCTCAACATCACAACGGACATGTACTGGGAAAGTAAAAAATTATGAGAAGGAGAGGGGAAGGACGATGAAGAGGACATACGAGCAAGAAAAGTTCTTAAAACAAAGCTGACAATGCAATGCAGATTTCGTAAGATTTCTCGAGAAATGTTGGTTTATATTTGCATGTCATGATGCGAAGCCTCATTGCACAGACAGTGAATTTTTAAAACTACGGCAACAATCTCATAAGCAAGCAGACATCCTAAGTGATATGCTATCATAGTAAGAAATTTGTAATTTTTCACGTGATAATAAATATGGTAATTTTAAAATATTGTTTCATTTTGTTTTTCTGAATTATAAAATGATGTTATGGGTTTTAATTTTAAATATCGTGTACGATTTTTGATATTATTAAGTTCATTCTAAATGACCACACTGATATTTATCTTAGATAACGGCACAGTCGACACTGTTCACGGTGTCGAGAAAACCAGGTTTAAGTTGAAAAATCTGAGCTGTGAAGTTAGTTGACCCATAGAACAGACTCCTCTAGCTCAGATAAACCTCAGAGTGAATGGACGGCCCTTTATGTGTTGTAGTCCACGAATTTAACGCGACGTGAAGAGCAGTAATGCGCCTATTGTTGGTATGGTTCTTGTGCATCTTACATATAACATTACGACTTTCCCATCTTCCGTACCCATTTTCGAAGAATTCCACAGAGGGGCTGGTCGAAATGTCTCTTACCAAACCATTCCTCTTGTATTTTAAGCAACGTAAAGCCACTGCATTTACATCATCTAAGCCTTCTGCGGGATTCTAGCTGGGGCCCAACGATATGGCAGCTAATACTATCAAACAGTTTCAATGCAGTCTTGCATAGTGAACGACATAAACCCTATTCAAAAAAGCGATATAACAACAGTTTTGTTAATTTGCTTCTAACACTGATCTCTATTATAAAGAACTAGCAAGCTTCCAATTTTCTAATGAATCGAATAAACGAAGGTGTGAAATTCTGTACGGTGTTAATATATATATTTTGAGACTTGCTCATAATATTAAACGAAGATTAAATAATAAATAAATAATATTAAATGAAGATTAAATGAAGATGGATCTATTATTTCATTATTTTATTTTCCAACGTAACTCAATCTTTGCGCAAGTAACAAAAAATTTAAATATTAATAATTATTGATCAGTTGAGTGCGTTGACGCCAAATACATTTTTTTTCTCGTTGCCTTTCCTAATAAAAGATAGGGGAGGTATGTTTCCATCAGCAGGGCTTGGCGGCAAAATTTGAAACTTGCTGATAGCAGGGCAATATTGCCAGATTATTTTTGTAATAATATGATCCAGGCTATTTTTGTAATCCCAATAACTGTTGCGTCCCCACAAGGAATGAGTTGAGTGCATCCAGGCCGCACACATTTTTTTCCCTTCGTCTTTTCTAATGTAAGATTTCTGATTTCATCTACCGGTATTTTTCAGGAGGTATGATTTTAATTCTAGTATACGGTACATACGGGATCTGGCGACGTTTGGCGACATGATGTTGAGCAGTAAATGCGGTATTTATGATGAGCAGTAAACGAGTTATTTTGCTGTGGGTGACAATTTTCAAAATCGCATCAAGGCCATAATGTATACTAGAATTTTACCGGTTTGCGTAGGTATTCTCCTTCTGCTATGTATTAGACGGCTTGCATTCTATTCATGCTAGAAGCATCTGTTACTTTACCACATTTACAAATTTCAACCGTAATTATACTTAATCGAGCCTTGGATACCTTTCGTAGACTGCCCCTTGAATTCTCGTCTTGTCTTCAAATTAGAAAGCAATAATACAAAGTGATTAGGTATAAAAAGCGTACTAAAACTAAGTATATATACTTCTGCTCGAAGTTGCGAAAGAGTAAATAGTTTAACTGAAATTTAACATCAGCATTCTGAGGTCTGAGAATACAAAATTAATTTAATTATTTGCAAAGCAAACATTGAATAAAAGATTAAAAATCCACGTCCTACTTTAAGTTACCAATACTCTCTCTTCTAATTTATATTCTCGCTTTTTTGTTTAAACTCACTTTATTTGAATTTCTGGTGAAGTTGTTGGAAAGCAGAAGTACAGGAAAGATTGAACATAAGAAATTAACAGCCTAATTAAAATGAACTTTGCATTTTAGTCTATTAAAACCGCAATATCAGATACTAAAATTAAACCTTTCGTTTTTAGGTTGTGTTTGCTGGTATGATGATAGGCAGCCCAGTCTTTGGATCCGCTGCAGATATATACGGTAGGAAAAAGGTAAACTATAAAACTTAAAAACTAATTTGTCTTAATAGAATTGTCTTCTTTTTTGCATCTTTATCTCGATTCGAAAATTTTATATGGTGTTCAAGTGGATGAGACCGTTGAATATTCGTAATTCTATTCAGATTTTCCGTTGGCTTTAGTTAAAAAACATTCCGTAATATTTTGGTCATATTAATGAATAGTTCATGACAATAAACGATGTATTTTTCGTGTTTTCGCATAGAAACAGGCGGGACTTCGGCAATTCAGCAACAATGTTCAGAAGATAATCACATTAAGCTACGTCTACTGTATTCAGAGGTCTTACCTACTAAGTTATTGGTGATCCCGTTTGATATCACATTAAAATTTAAAAATAAGTTTCAACAGTTAAGATAAAATGTAATAAGTAATAATAAATACATATCAATGAATATTACTAAATGAATAATAAATATAATAAATGCTAACAATTAAATCAATTTTAATAAAATAAAGTTTAATGAAATTAAGTTTAAATAGTTTAAATTCGAATGATTAAGATAAATCAATTTCGAAAATGAATAAATTGTAATAAATCCGATAGTATTTTAATTATTCATGATTTTGAGATTACGCGAGGAGGATATAAATGCCATTAATAGCTCTGTATTGATGTTTAGTCATATTTCGTTTTTTGCAGTCTCTTGCAGCATCTGTGACTCTTCTGTTTCTGTTTGGGGCCGTGAGTGCGGCTTCTCCGTCTTACACGTGGATGGCCATCTTCAGATGTTGCATGGGATTCGCTCTCGGAGGCGTTGCGCAGGGGTAAGTATCAGTTACTAGTGATTGTGTTCAGAAGGAATGTACAAAAACAAGTAGCAGAAGAGACTGCAACTTAAAAACAATTTGTGCCATGGTTAACAGTTTCATTTCCTTAAGAGAATTTATTATACATAGGTTAATAGTACATTGGAACCTCGTATCAGGAGTCTCATTTCTTGAACTATTCTGTTTACAAATAATTTATCTAAGCAAAAATCGCCTCGGATGACGAATGTTGTGTCTCTAGTAACGAACACTCAGGTCGGCAACGAATAATTTTCAAATGTGTTTTGAATCAACCTATGCCACATAATTAATACTCAAATTTCATCTTAATAGTTTCCATTATTTAGCTGGTACTAACGCAGCCTGACAAAAAGTGACTTTGTAGAGTCATTAGGTTATTTTTGAAGCAGGGGAGATGAAAATGAGCAACGCCTCCGCCGGGAATCGAACCACGGACCTCTGGAAAATACGTGCTCAGTGTGCTGACCACTACACTACGAAGACAGGCTAAGAAGGAGGGAGAACTACCTTATAACTTAGGACCATCAATTGAGCCTGGAGAAAATTATGGCCAGACTGGTTTACAGACACAAACTTTGAACACTTAATACAGTTTTTGCTACTTATAATGTGCTTAATAAGCAAAACCATGGGATAGGAAGTTGACAAAGACGGGTAAAAGTTACTAGAGGAACATAAAGTTCAGCTCAAAAAGGAATAACTACAAGAACTTCCAAAAAACAGCAGGAAAAATAAATGAAATATAAAACTGGCCAATAATCAACGCAGTAGCATGAGAAACACATTGCTCTTGGTCAAAATTACCAATACTTTCTCACCACACTGGTGAATACTAGTGGTTCATCCCAGGTTCGATCCCAAGTGAACGCGTTAGCTGCATGATTGGTTTTCGTGGTTTTACCCATGTGTAATGTGAATATGAGCAAGTGTCCCTTAGAAAGGTCCTCCACAAAAGCCTTCATCCCCTCAAGCAGATAGCTTCGTGTGTTTTGCATCATACTTAAATAACTTAAATGAGTACTTTAGCAGCTAATTTAGATTCTTAATTAGTTATTTAAGCTCACTTAATTTACGTTTATGTTAGAGTTGAAAGAAAGCAGAAACATGGGCAAGATTTAACGGACGTAGTCAACTAATCCAGGTCACGAAAGTTCTTTTTTCTCTTTACCCCCTGCAACTTGAAAGCGTGGAGGAATTTTTCCGTATCTACGGTGGAAAGTGAGTGTTCGTTCTTCAAGCAGTAATTGTATCACCATCTACTATTACGTCTTAGTTAAAGCAAATGCGAGACTGCTATGAAGTTTACATTTAGTTTTAAAAACCATTTTAAATTCATGTATATTAAATGTATAGGGTCAGTCCATAAGTTCGTGCGCACTAAGAGTATGCGTGAATTAACTATTATGCATTTACTAAAACAATACAGTTTTGAACCTGTTGAAACTTGTTATCGTTTGACTAACCTATTATTCAGTTCATTACCAACTTTCGTAAATATCGAAAGCATTTTAGTACCCATGGAAGATGAATATAGATAATCAGTACAAACGTGCCGTGCTACATTTTTTATTTTCGTTGTGTGAATCTGCCAGGTTTGCAGCGTAAAACTAATAGTGTACATGATGAACACACTATTAGTGTAAGGATTGCCCAGAAATTGTTTAAAAAACTTAAACAGCATTGATGATGAACACCGTTCCGGACGTTTACAGCTGTTAGAACTAAATCAAACAATTAATTCAGAACTTCATAGTGAACAACTTTGCCGTCTAAACTCAGAATTGACCAAAAACGCGGCCATTGGTGAATATCAAGAAAGTGTTGTTTCATCATGATAACGCTAGACCGCATACGGCTCGAATAATGCTGCAAAAAATTAGGATTTAATTGGGAGCTTCGCCCACATCCTGCAGACGCTCAGATTGCCCCAGTGATTTCACTTATTTCGTGCCTTAAAAATTTTTACAGGAAAAAAAATTAAATTCTAAACAGGATGTACACAATGAACTTTCAAGTTTTTTTTGCATCAAAACCAGAGTCTTTCTAAAGCAATGGCATAAAAAAGCTGCCTGTAAGATGAGGAGACGTTGTAGATAATGGAGAAAAATATATAATTGATTAAAATGTTAAATTGTGTTTTTGATATTATTTAAAAATTTACTAAAAATGCGCACGAATTTATGGACTGACCCAATACATTAATGTTTAACAGTGCTTTTATTCGAAACTTTTTGTACGCTGAAATTTCGGATTAATTTCATGAATCAAACTGTTTTGTTACTTTTACTGCTAATTAAATTAATTAAAATTCAAAGCTTGAGCTACATTTTAATTGAGCCGCATTCACTTCGTCTTTATTTAATATTATTTATTTATTACATTGTGTATAGTGAACTTTTGGATTAATTTCAGGAACTGATTTGCTACTTTGCTGCTTATTGCTGCAAAGCTTGAGTTATATTTCAATTGTTCCACATTCGTTTGATCTTTATTTAATACAATTTATTTATTATTTAACTTCGTATAATGTTTGTTTAATCTTATCATTAAGTCTCAAAATGTTACTGAAAATGTATGAAATCCGTCACTCTATAGAATACGTAGGCATTTTCGAGAATGCCAAAAACTAGCCGATAAGCCAAATGACAAACCAACAAAGTATGAATTGCATCTCCATATCGTTTCGAGCATCCATGCATTTAATACATTCACACATAATCCACACAGTTAAAGGCATTTGTTCCATAATTTCATACATTTTTATACATTGTTTTCTTAGGCATAAATTCTGTTTCGTACAATTTAAATTTTTTTTAGGTATTTTGAATCAAAGTTTTTAAATGTCACTCTTTCATTATTGTTCCAAAATAACCTTTGCATTTTTGAGTAATGTACGCTTTTAAATAATAGCCTTATTGGGACCTTATTTTCATACATTGTCTAAAAATCATTTGTCATTTTATGAAACACCTGGGTATTATATACCATGCCTAGGATAAGTATATAATAATTCTCGTTTTTCATACTTTGTCTAAAACGCCAGGTATTGTATAACATGCCCAGGTATTCTATAGAATGCAACCGTTTCATACATTGCCGATAATATATACAACTTTATTCTGCGTTCTCATTGCCTTGCAATTCATACGAGTTTGTTCATGTTTATATCTCATTTCGTATCAAGCATAGGTGTTTCAACGTTTACTTGTCTCTTATTTAAGAGCATACATGTTTTACCTTTTAGTAGTAATTGAAAATTAAAAAAAAAAAAAAAAAATTAAAACATCTCCAATAATAATTATAATATTTTCAAATTTGTAGACTGACCTTATGCTGTGAATATTTCCCGACAAATATCCGAGGAAAAGCAGGATTCTACTTGTGTGTAGGTAAATTTCCTAGTTTCATAAAATATTATTTAATGTCTTACTATGTCTGCTGTGTCTTTTTGTTGCATGTGACTAGAAGGACATTTGAATGTGATCCTCGTTTGCGTTTTAGAAAACGTAAATTCTTATCCTTTAAAAAAAAAAAAAAAAAGTTTATTTTTCACTACTTTTAAAATTATTTAAAGTGAGTATTTAAAATTTTCTTAAACTGTACAATTTTTAGATTTCTTTGAACGTCATACGACTCTAATTGCTCTTGAAGTGTTTGAAAATACCTCCAAATCAGTTTGGAAATTTATGTTGGTCTTTTTTTATACATATTTAAGAAATTAGTCTGAAATTTTGAAAGATTGTTCACTGAATGTGTCGAAGAAAGTTTTATCTTTTTGTCACATAAATGCTAAGAATATAATATTGTTGAAGACAGATTATATGTAATATGTAACATATAACGAAACATACCATATTTCCTCATTTATTTTTTTCATTTTTTCAACTAATTTAATCGTCCGAAAACCGAAAGGAGAAATGATGCGAAGCATTGAATTTCCGAAGAACTCGTTTACAGTAACCACGTAATTAATGAAATGTTGTCATAGATAAACTGCAGATTGCTATCGTAATATTATTTCTTTAAAAGAAAGTCTCAGTCCAATACATTGTAATATAACATTATATCTAGAGATACTGAGCTAATATCTGAATGGTTATTAAGCCAGAAACGTCAATCTTCGACTTCGTTAACTTGTAAATCCCAGTTGGTACCTCGCTTGAATACATCTTCACTGCAGTTTCCGAGACAGCCATCGCAGGAACGAGAGAGAAGGAATCGAATAAGAGACCCAGATTTCGATAGAATGAACACATGAGCAGTCGATAAGGCTGTAATGAACTGAAAGGTATGAGAAGCAATTAAAGGGTGATCAACTAGGAATATTATATGAATTACTTGGTTTTTTAAAAGAGCATGCTAGAACACTTCACAAGAGTAAAACTTAATTATTATTTTTTTTTTGATTGCTTCCATATTTCCTCACATATATTTCTTCCTAATCTTTTAGAGCTATGTTCTGAAAATAGCAAAAATATTTGCATCCTTTCAAACTTTTTTAACGTACATAGTTTTTCCTTCTGAAGACTACTTTATTGATAAGAAGTAAAGTGAAAATACATTTTTGGAAAGTTGTTTATATGTGAGAACATCTGCCGTGTACTAGTTGCTTAACGAAGAATATATGTACACAATACGTTTCAAATAATAAATGCTAGGGAAAATAAAACAGATGAAATGCTCATGGAAAAATACGAATACGAACTGAATCTACTGAAAAAAATAATTCAGAGAATCTGATTTATCAATAAAATAGTCTTCAGAAGGGAAAACTATGTACATTAAAAAAAGTTTAAAAAGATGCAAATATTTTCGATAGTTTCAGAACATAGCTATAAAATTAAGAAGAAATATATGTGAGGAGATATGAAAGCAATTAAAATCAATCAATAAATAATTAGTTTTACTCTTGTGAAGTGTTCTAGCATGCTTTTTTTAAAAAGCAAGTAATTCATATAATATTCCTAGTTGATCGCTCTTTAATTGCCTCTCATACCCAATGCGTGTATTTTTATCCAATTTTTATACAAGTAAATGAGTTACCAATGTATCACCAAAACCTTCAACTTTTTGTTCTAGAACACTTAGAGAATAAAAATGAACGCATTCATTAGTGAAGTCGAGAAGATTCAAAATAACGTCCACTGAATCAGCAGTATTTGGTTTGCATAATAAACTTCTTAATTAATGTACTAACCATTTCTCGCTTATTCGAATCTGTCTTCAAACAAATCCCAAGCAATTTTGTAAATTGAATCTGAAATAGGTATAGCTTGAATTAGTTTTAGAGCTTCAGCCTTTCAAGAACTCTTAAAATTTGAGAATCATAAACTCCTAAGATACTGAAGCCTCTGAGCATCTACTAATTTAATATTATTGGGTAGACTAGTCTTGAAAGGTCTCTGAAAGTAAGCCACTGATCTCAATTTCCAGTAAAAGCAGGTATATTTAAAGTCGACACTTTTACTTCGGTAGTGTCAGGCTGAAAGTGTCAGTTAACACTAACTGGACTAACATTATCAAGGCGAGAATATTTTCGTTATTAAAGATCATCAATTGTATTTTGAACTATTTGTCATTCTTCGACCGTAGGTATTAATTTCCCTTTCCTCACATGTTTCATAAATATTATCCAAAATACGAGAAACATCTGCACTTATATTATTACATTATTCAGTGTCTTTTTGAAAAGCTCAATTTTTGCTTCATCTGAGTTAGCAATGTCCGAGTTAATTTTTTCTTCGAATTTAGTTAAACTTCCTTTAGCGACTCGTTTCTTCATTAATAGTGATTTCATATCCATCATGAAAAAGACAAAGATAACTTACCCTTAATTGAAACAGCAGATACTTTCTCAAATATGTCAGCAATATTCATTTGAAACAAAATTTATTTGATTAGTACAGAAAAAACATATTATCCATCAGGGGATAACAAACAAATGTTCGTAGCAAAAGTCAATCAAGATTACAACCGAAGCGTTGCAAAACAGTCTGCAATTCAATGTTCTAAAAAAATGGCTCGTGCGCCGTTCATAGCGTTGTAGCATACATACTAAATCAAAATTTTGCAATAATTATTATTGTTCGTTTAATATAGGGTCTGCAGCTCACTGTACGAAAAAGCTTTTTTATTATCAAGCAAAAAAAAATTAGAATAACAGTGAAAGAAACAACAAATCATCTACTCTCGTCGCCAAAACGCTGGAGTCAAGTGAAAACAAAAAATAATCTGCACTCGTACTAGCAGTGCCGTCTGCATCAACTTAAACTAAATAAACACCCTTATTAAAATACTTTAAATTTTTAATAACTTAGTAAAATTCCACCATTGACCGTTGCAGTGGCAAACCTACAGCTATCGAGGGCCTGGGTGGAAATCTCCCTGGAGCCGCTCCTTATTAGAATGATTACCATATAAAATGTCAACACAATTATATAACTAACATTTATTTAATTAAAATTAAATAGTTAAAATGGTTTGGAACACAACAAGATCTCAAGAAAAGAAGAGACTAAAGAAAAAGAGACATCTAACAGACAAATGGATATTTAAAAATCCGCTATTTTTGTTTTAAAAAAGTGTATTTAACTTTTCTGTCCATAAAAGAGCTAAAGCTGATTGATCTATTGCGAGCTTTGACTTTGGAAAATATTTTTAAAGCTTCATCAAAATTAATATTTTTTGTAAGTGCATTATCAACAGAAAGGTTTGCCAGATCTTTATTTCTTACTCGGCTGATTGTTGGTCGAAGATAGCCGTTAATCAACTTTATCCTTGAAAATTTTCTTTCGCAAGAAGCAATGAAAGCACACAACTGTTAAACAATATTTAGTGCTAATTAAAAGTTAGGCACTGATTCTTGGAAGTCCATTTCCACAATAAACTTTATCATTTTCAATGCAGACCACAATTTAGCTTCGTCCTTTTCTATAATACTACATATAACTACATATACTTGAAAACTTATGACTCTTGGGAGGCCGTCTCTGATCAGAGGTCCATCCCACCATCCCATTCCTGTTACGCCTCCTTATCTTGGTGGGTCGCATGGAGATAAGAAAGGACTTCCTACCTTCATGGTTTGGGTCGATCAGGCCTGGATCCACTGCGGTTTTAACCTGTAAATTGCGATGCTCTTAGATATTGGTGGTTAAATATAAAACGTGTACAGAATGCCGCCGATAAATGGAGAGAGACGTTTGAGCTGGCAACGGAAACTGGCAAGGCAGACGTTGAATTTTATGGCTGTTTTGAAGGATATTTTTTCTCATCGTTTAATTTTATTAATCGGTTTATGCTCTCAAAATTACATTAAACGGCACTTACAGTAGTAGGCATCATTCGTAGGATAATGTAGGTTATGAGTGTATTACCTCCTTATTGTAGAATATATGTATCACACGTAAAAGACGACTTTAGAGAAAATTTTTATGGCATTGTCCTTTATATTCAACAATTTCCTATCTCACCCTACAATTTCGCATATATCAAGTAGCGGTATTTTTATTGAATGAGACATTTTGCCTTGACGTGACAAGGCTAAAAATGTTTTACATCAGCAAGCGCGATTTTTGCAGCTGCTTGTACATGTGAGGCAGACTGGCATTCGTCGTCATTTCTTTTGGCAGAATTATGCGGCATTTACTTTTCAATTTGTGCCAGCCATCCAAATAAACACATAGCACTCATTTAAATTTTTGAACGTTTATTAGCGGTGTACTTTCGTATGCTAAATAATACTTACGTCAGTGATGTCCAACTCAAAGTGCAAGTCGGTTGAATGCACAATTTAAAAACAGCTAACGGGCCAAAGGTTTTTAAGTTTTTATTTTATTTTTGTATTTTTTTAGCAAAAGGAAAGCTTTTTATCAACAAAACAAAAAAGTTAATTAAATTTTAAATTTCGCTTGCTAAATATTTATCAAAGCATACATAAAAAAACAGTAATAATAATAAAGCAAAGAAAATTTCCAATACATATTTTTATTTTCTATCTGACATTTTTGGTACCTGCAACACATTTTTATTGGTTACACTTTGTAGTTCAAACCTACTGACAGCTAAATATTAATACTTAAGACTGATGTCAAATAATTTTAATATGTTTAAGTAACCCTTAAACAACTAATTTTAATTTAAATTATAAAAAAATACGAAAACTTTCTAAGCTTTCAGAGATAACTTTCCAAGTAAGAGAAAACTTGAGAATGAATAATATCAACTTACTCTATTTTTCTTGTTATATTTTTCTTCGAAGCATAAATAGAGATACGTACGTTTGTGTTGTAATATTAGAATATTACATTTTAGATATTTATTCTTGTATACGTCTGTAATGAAGTTTTAAAGAACTCTCGCCATTTTTGAACGAACAACCAACTT